GAGAAGGAATGTTGAGTTTAGGGCATGCCTAGTGTCTGGTCACTTGGCCACCAACCCCCTCACTTCTCACTGGGACCAATGTCGTAGCCTCCAATCCATCCTCCCCACAGCTGCCAAAATAATCTTCCAAGGCCACATCTGGCCCTTCATTGTCTCACTATTGCCCTTGGGATGAAATGCAAACTCCTAAGACTAAATTCAAGGCCTCTCACAATCTGGTTTCCATCTACCTTCCCTTATTTCTCATTCCTTTTCAAGCAGTCAGACCTTCTTGCCAAATGGCTTTATTAGTTACCATCATTTGAATGTAAGCCCCTGGAGGGGGCTTTCTCTTAGCACAGCCTACAGTTAATACTTCATAAATGCATGGTGGTTGGTTGATTGATCGGCCCTCTGAAATCTCCGACGTCCCAGCAGCACCAGGCCAGGGAAGCACTTTGTCCTTAGGTCCACTTGCTGAAATGTTTCTCTTCCTCCAAGAGGAGGAAACTTTTAAGTTCTGCCTCCTTCCTTATGTCTCAGCAGAAAGGGCTCCTTCCTCCTCCCTCTTTCCCACATCACTGTGTTTGGACCAGTGGCACCCCTGCCCTATAACATCATCGAACTAATTTTTGTCCAAGTTGGAGCCTGCCTCTGAACAGTGGCTAGCTCCTAAGAGCTTCAAGGTTGTTTTACCTGCACTAATTCAATTGATCCTTACAACAACCCTGAGAAATAGGTGCTACTATTATCCATATTTTTTGGTAAATTCCCTGAGGGCAACCAAGAGCCGCTGAAGATTCCTGAGCAGCAGGGTGGCACGACCAGACCTGTACTCAAGGATATCAGATTGGCAGCTGATTAAGAGCCTACTGTGGGCTTAGCATTGAAGCCAATGAACAAAATGAAAAAAGATAAGAAACTGAACGAGTTGGGCTCAATAGTCTATATGTCAGCATGGTATATTAGAAAGAGCACAGGGTTTGGGGTCACATCCGGCCTTGAATCCAACCTCTGCCCCTAACTACCCATATGAAGACGGGCGAGTCATTTCCTCTGTCTGGGACCGTTTCTTCGTCTTGCAAATGAACGGGGTGGATTAGATGATTTCTTTGATCAATTGATCAATGAAATCCAGGCCATACTCCCTAACCATGGCGGGTCCATCAAGGCTCTGTCCGGGGCTGCTTCCCTTCTCCCTTAATACTATATCACTTGTTGATCTTAGCTGCAGTATCATCACTGTGCAGGTGATTGCCAGCTTTACTTCTCAAGCCCTCGTTTCTTTCCTGAGTTCCAGTCCCTTATCACCAGCTGCCTTTTGGACATCTCAAGCTGGCTGAGCTGTAGTTCATCTCAAAATAGAATGTTCTTTCCCCCCAAACCTTCTTTTAGTTCCCAACTTTCTTTCCTATTAGTGCTGAGGGTGCCACCTTCCTCTTACTTACCCAGGCTTGCTACTAGCTGTCATCCTTGACTTCTCACATCTGGGGTCAAATCTTGTCCCTTTCTGCTTTCACACCATCCCCCATCCACGCTGGTATATGCCCCCTTCTCTCCACTCCAACTGCTGCTGCCCCAGTGCAGATCTTCATTACCTTCTGCTATTGCCATAATCTTCTGACTTAACATCTTCCTTCCTCAAGTCTCTCCCTACTCTCATTCATCATTCACTCAGCTGCCAAAAGGGTTTTCCTAAAGCACAAATCTGATCCTATCCTACAGCCCCCTTGGCCCCCTTCTTACTCAGTCAAGTCCAGTGGCTCCCTAGTGCGTCCACGCTCATACATGAAATGCTGTGTTAGGCATTTGAAGCCCTTCATAGCCTGGACCCTTCCTACCTTTCCAGTCTCACATCCCACTCCACACACTTTATGATCCACTCAGGTTGGCCTCATCAGTTATCCTTTTGAACCACTCTCCTTCTCCTAATTCTGTGCATTTTCACTGGCTGACAATCAGTGCCTGGAATACTCTCCCTCTGCCTTCCCTGGCTTCCTTCAAGAGGAATCAGCTCAAATCACACCTTCCACAGGAGGCCTTTCCCAGTCTCCCTCACCCCTTCCTCCCTTTTTCTCTGGCATTATTATCCATTCACATTGTATTTATTTTCTATTTATAGTTATTTGCATATCGTCCTCCCCATTAGACTGTGAGCTCTTTGAGGTCAGGGATCATATTTTCACCTCTCTTTGCATCCCCAGTACAATTCCTTATACACAGTAAGCTCTTAAGAAATACTTATTGACTACGACTGACTGATTTTTTTTTTTTGCCAGGCACTGAGATAGGGAAAAAAAGGCAAAAGGCAAGAGGTCCTTGACATCAAGAAGCTTACATTCGAACAGGGTAGAAAACACGTACGCACACACAAGTTTTTCCAGAATAGACACACGGCACAAGCTTTGGAGCTACTCTCCAAACTCTGCCTCACCATGGCAGTCTGGGTCTACAGGGGGGTGGCTAGCAAGAGATCCTATCAGGACTTGAGGGGCAGCCCTAGGGATTTGGGGTGGTTTTTATAATACCATAGCTTCCAAGCCCCTACTAGTGTGCTTTCCTCTGTGATTATTAATTGATGTTAGCCAACCAGGCTAAATTAGCACACAAAGCTCATCAGTTCTCCCTTTGGAGATGGATAGCATTTTCTCATCACGGGTCCTTTAGAGTTGTCACGGATCGTTTCATTGATCTAAGGAAATGTCTTTCACAACTGATCATCCTTACAATATCCAAGAACAATCATTCGTAACAGCTTGATTGAGATGATTGTGGCCTTTTCTTCTCTAATGCCAGACCCTCAAATTCTTCCAAAGCAACTACTTTAAACTGGTTTTGTACAAAAGTCACAGTGTATGACTAAGGCAAGCAGTTAAGAAGCATTTATTAAGTGCCTCTTACATGCCAAAGTTCTGGAGATACAAAACTAATCCTGAGTCTCAAAGAGCTCACAGTCCAATGAAAGAGGCAACAGAAGAACAATAATGCAGAAACAAGATGCAGACAGGATAAAATGGAGGGGGGAGGGGCCAGCATTAAGGGGATTAGGAAAAGCTTTCTATGAAAGGTAGAATTTTACTGGTGTTTGAAGAAATCTAAGGAGACTCCTCAACCAATTGGAGCAGAATTCTTGTCGAACCTCCTTGAAATGCTTTCCTTTGATTCAGTAGAGATGTTTAGGTCTTGTTAATGCACCTCTGGTTGATTCTACTGAGATGCGTTATCAGCTGATAAAGTCATTGTGATGGCATCATATGGTTGGACCTTTGCTGTAGGAAAATCATTTTGGTGCTTACAGAGGACGGATTGGAGAGACTAACAAATAATAATAGAATTTATAGAGCACTTGAATGTTTGCCATTCATTTTACCTACATTATCTCATTTGATCCTCACAACAACCTTGGGAGGTAGGTGCTGTTATTGTCCCCATTTTGCAGTTGAGGAAACTGAGGCATAGGTTAAGTGATTTGCCCAAGGTCATCCAGCTAGCAAGTGTCTAAGGCTAGATTTGAACTCACACCTTTCTAACTCCAAAGCAAGCACTCTATCCACTGAGGCACCTGGTTGCTTCCCTGGGCAATTAGAAGGCTGTTGCAATAGTCTAAAAGATGGGTGATGGGGGCCTGACACTCATCTGTCCGTGGTGGTCTGTGAGTAGGTGGAAGAGGCAATGTAAGAGTTATTGTAGAGCAGGGCTTCTTAAACTGAGGTCTGTGAATCTGTTTTTTTAAAAATATTTTGAAAGTTGGATTTCTATAGTTGGTTTTCTTTGTAATCCTATGACTTATTTTATATGTTTAAAAACATGATTCTGAGAAGGGGTTCCTGGTCTTCATCAGACTGTCCAAGGGGGCAGGGGTCCAGAACACACACAAAAAAAGCAAAGAGGTAGAAACACCAAGCATGAAGATCCCTTTCAGCTCTGGATGCATGTTCCTAAATTGTTCTACGATTTTATGACACTGCGCCTATCTCCCCAACGCTTACAATCTAATGAGGGCCTGGGTGAATTAAAAACAAAACCCAAACAAACCCAAAATATGCCCTCTGTGCCTTGTCCTGAAGAAGGGATGGTGAGGGGCATCACCAAACCAGTCCGAATCGGCCCTGTGCTTGTCTCCTGGGGCGCCAGCCTCACACCCCCAGCTTGAAGCCTGGAGTTTCAGACCAGGCTGCCCTGGTCCCTGAAGGAAATCCCTGCATTACAGGCTCAGGGGTGGAAGGCAATTCGGAGATGTTCTAGCTCAGCCCCTCAGACCATTTACAGATGAGGACACTGAGTCCCAGAGAGGGTTGGGGCGTATTGAACAGAAGGCTAGGTCATTAAGAGGAGGATGTCGCTGAATCACCGATTTTTTAAGGTCTCAATGATGATCCTTAGCATCATCTTTAGGCCCCCCCCCCAATTTTCAGATGAATTGAGGCCCAGAGAGGGGAAGGGACTTGTTCAGGTTCACAGGGCCAGGCAAAGAAAGCACCAGGATTTGAACCAAGGTGCTCTGACTCAGGACTCAGCGTCCTCTCCAAGGCATTGCTGGTGTCCAAGGTGCCGTGCCAGGTGCAGGGGCAGCAGCCCGGTGGCCGGAGGGCGGGGCCCAGGAGGGCGGGGCGGGGATGTGGGAGGAAGGCCCAGGGGGCGGGACTGGGGGCGGAGTCTGGGGAATCTCTCCTAGGGCAGTTCCTTAGAGAGCGCAGCGCGGGAGAGGCGGGGCTAGGGGCGGGACCATGCTACAGAAGGGGGCACGTCGAGAGGTGGGGCCTCGACACAGTGCTCCGCGCGGCCCAGAAGGGAAGGCAGAAGAGGGGCGGGGCCAGAATAGGGGGCGTGGCGACGGAGAGGGCGCAGGGAGGGGGCGGGGCTCCAGGCACGTTCCGGCAGGGGGCGGAGCGAAGGGGCGGAGTTTCGTTCAGGCGACATCCCGTCGTCTAGGCAACGGCGGCGTGGCATCTTCCAGGGGGGCGCGCGGCGGGGGCAGGCGCGGAACGGAACTGCGCGGGGCGCGTGGGGCACGGACGGGGGGCGCGTGTCGCGTGTCGCGGGGAGGTTCCCGCGCGTGACGAGGCGCCGTGGGACGAGGCCGAGGGACAGCCATCATGGCGGAGCGGAGCCAGATCGCGTCCGAGGCAGGTCTGTAAGCGTGCGCACGCGTGGCCGTGGGGGGTGCGTGTGCGCACCCTACCGCGGTCACCAGTGGGGCGGGCTGACAGGGTGCCGGGGTCACGTGAGTTCATGGAGGGTAAGTAATGGGGGGCTGGGGTCACGTGAGGTCACGTGGTCGGGGGCAGTGGGGGCCGGGATACCTGAGTTCACGCGGGGAGGGGTACTGAGGGATCGGGGTCAGGTGAGGTCACTTGGGGCCAAGGGATATGGGGTCGTGGTCAAGTGAAGTAAAGGGGAGGGGGTGGAAACTGGGGGGGTCACATGAGGTCACGAGTAACGGTCAGGTGGCATGAGGTCAGGGGGGCGGAGCAGCGGGGTGCCAGGGTCACGCGAGGTCACCTGTGGGGGTGGGGCTAGGGCCACCTGGGGTAGCAGGAGGGCTCTCAGGATTCTCCAGGTTCCCCGTCAGGCCAGCAGGTGGGGGAGGGGCCACAGCCCTTGGGAGTGGGTGGGGGGCAGGTGGAAGGACAGAGGTGAGGGAGGGTCTTCACTCCGTTAGACTGTGAGCCCCTGGAGGGCAGCGATGCCCTTTGCCTTTCTTTGTATCCCAAGGGCTTTGCCCTGTTGCCTGGGCACATAGTAGGTGCTCAGCTGAAGCTTGTGGACCGATGGTTTTGGTAGAATTTCTTTGAAATGACCATTTCAGTAGAGCTGTTTTTGTACCCCCTCCCCCAGTTTTATGTGTTTATTTAATGGTTCAGTGAAGGGGCCCAAGCTTTCAGCAAGAACCACCATCAGCCCTGACTAAGCACCTACTGTGTGTCAGGCCCTGTATTAGGGGCTGGGGATGCAAAGAAAGGCATACCCAGGAGCTCACCGTGTAATGCCAAAAGGGGTCCAGGACACAGAAAACATAGAATAAGAATTCACGACATATAGCGGGGGACGACTGGTGGGGACAACAGGCAGGAAGCCCTAGACCCTTCTCTGAAGTAGTCAGTAAGCATCCATTTTAAGTGCCTACTGTATGCCAGCTAGAAGGTGCTTAATAAATGCTTGCTGACCGATTGACCAATGGGAGTGATTGGCTGGGGGTGGGGGGAGGGAGCCTGTAGTGCCCCCATACTATCATAAACTCCTTACATCAATCCCCTCCAAGGTCCTGTTACAGTCTTTCCTGTTGTCCAGAAGAGAATTCATCTTTTCCCTCAAACCAAGGAGACATCTGGTGGGGCAGTGGATAGGGTGTCTAGAGCGTGGCCTAGGGTCAGGAACACCTGAGTGCAAATCCAGCCTCAGACACTTACTAGCAGTGTGACCTTGGGCAAGTCACTTTACCCTGTTTGCCTCAGTTTCCTCATCTGTAAAATGAGCTTAGAGAAAAAAATGACAAACCACTTCAATGTCTTTGCCAAGAAAACCCCATAGCAGGTCCTGAAGAGTCGGATGCTGCTGACCAATGACCCTGGGCAAGTTACTTATCCTCTGCCTGCCTCAGTTTCTTCAGCTGTAATTCAGGGATAATAATAATAATGCCTCCCTCCCAGGGTTCTTGTGAGATAATAGTTGTAAAGTGGTTAACAGAATGCCTGGCACATGGGAGTCACGACATTAATGCTTATTTCCTTCCTCCTTCTAAATTGTTTTCTTAGTGTCCAAGGTACCACCCTCTTCCCGGTCACCACCCTCTCTCATTTTTCCGTGCCCACTACATCTCTCCAGTACACCCCCTTCTCTCCTTTGACACCCAGGCCTCCCTCACCTTGTGCTTGGAAATTTTCAGTCCCCGTGCCACCTCAAGGCTCTGCACACTCACGTTAAGGCATGTCCCTAAAAGTCCAAGTCTGGCCATGTCATTTTCCTACTCAGTAAACTCCTGTGGCTTCCTCACACTGACAGGGTCTAAAGGAAAAGCCTTCTTTTTGGCATTTCCAGTCTTCTTCCTCTCCCTCCTGGAATGCCAGGGTTCAGCCCTGTAGGTCTAGTGGCTCCCTCAGCTGCTTGGGTCTGCATTTCTAGGGTTCCCTTCCATCTGCTTTGTGTGCAGGGTGGATGCCTCACATCCATTCATTAGAACGTGAGCTTCCTGAGGGCAGGGACTGTGTTTGCCAAGCCCCTGGCACGCTGACCACTCTCTGACCCTGTTGCTCAGGGCCCTGGCTCATTAGAGCTGGGCAGTGGTGTCTGAGAGGGGGACAGGGGAGGGGAGAGGAGAAATCACCACTGGCTTTTTGGCCAGCCTGGGGCCGGGCCAGAAATAAGGTTCTGGGTCCTAGATTCACCAGGGCAGGTTAGCAGGACAGGCTCTAGACAGCAGGGGGATGTGTCAGTCAGGCTTAAGGCTTTGCCTAGCCTGTGCTGGTGACCCAGGGTGGGAGGAAAGCCTTTTTGAGAGGGGTAGGTGCTCAGATGATTATCCTTTTGTTGTCCTTGCAATTAAGAATTATTTCCACCAGTGTTTGCAGTGCTCCAAGAAATCCCTCTTCCCTGACTCATGTGCAGGTGAGGGGCCTGGGGCATTATTTGAACGGCTGTTTGAGGACATAGCTGACTTTGGCACCTCCTGATTTCTGCCCCTATCTTCCCACTCGCCTCCTTCTTTACTAAGGGCATGTTCCCCAATAGACCTTCTTCTTTAGCTCTCTTCCCTTTCCTCTCCTCCCTTCACTGAAGTAGTTGTTGAGATGGGTTTTATTGAGGTTCCCATCTGGCTGGTTGACCCTGCAAAGCTCGAGCTGCTGTCCTCGCTTCTTAAATCCGACCCAATGTGCTGAGCACCCACAAGTCTCTTGCACACACAGCCTACTGACATTCTGTTGCTCTGTTACAAAGGGAAGTTTGGCCAAGCTTGGGGGTCTTCCTGTGCAAGGTTGGAGGGCTGTTGTGAACTAGAGAGGGAGGTTTATGGAATCCCTGGAGCCTGGAGCTGGGAGGGAAAGAAAGGTTCCTTATTCTGATACCTACGAGAGGGCCTGGCACATAGTAGGTGCTTAAAAGCGCTTGTTGGCTTGACTTGACTTATTGCCTTTAGGTCAAATACAAACCCTTCTGCTTGACTGTTAGAGCTCTGCCCACCCTGGCTCCTTCTTACCTTTCTGATCTTTTTACACGACTCCCCTTCCCACACTCTGCAGTCAGCCCTGGGTGTTCTGCACCCACGGCACTCCATCTCTGGTCTGTGTGTCTTTGTGCCAGCTGTCCCCTAGGCCTCTTCTCCTCCACACCCCACAATCCCTGGCTTTCTTCTAGACTCAGCTCCAATGTTGCCTTATGCAGAAAGCTCCCCCCCCCCACAATCTGCTGCCTTCTCCCCTAACTACCCTGTATGTAATCTAGATATTTTTTTGTTAATAATGTTTTACCCTAATTACATGCAAAAACAATTTTAAACTCTTTTTAAAAAAAGTTTTGAGTTCTAAATTCTATCCCTCCTTCCCTTCCCTGCCCTCTTCCTGAGATGGTAAGCAATCTGATATAGGCTCTCCATATGGAATCATGTAAACCATTTCCACATTAGTCTGGATATTCTTAATATAGACATGTTGTCTTCATGCCTTGAGGGCAGACACTTTCTGTTTCTGTATCAGTAGTGCTTAGCCTGGCACATAGTTGGGGCTTAATAAGTGCAAATTGATTGATTGACTGAAGGCAAAAGATAATTTCTTCCTTCTAATCCTAATTCTGAAATGGTGTGATATAGGTCTTGGTCACTGCTTTTGATTTAAGGTTACAACAATAATAATCATTTTCTGCACTGATGTCATCCTGAGATGCCTCCCAGGGCTCAGAGATAACCAGGGGCTTACCTCGAACTAGGTTTCCACCTCCAGGAGCCCCTTCCAGTGCTCAGAATTGCCTGTTGCCCTTTTTGGTACTGAATATCCCTGTCTTGAGTGTTACCTTTAGAGTTGTTTTTTTTAACCACCTTCTTACTGTATTATAGAGTACAATAACATTTTATAGCAGGAAGGGACTTTAGAGATTGGATTTCCAGTGAGAGTACCTTGGCAGATCCCATGGGTAACTTCCTTCCTCTCTGTGGGACTCAGTTTTCTTAATTGAAAGTGAGGGGATGGGACTAGAGAATTGCTCAGGTCCTTCTAGTTTGAAATCCTTTCCCCATGTATATCATCTGTGGTCCACTATTTAGCCCATTTCCCTCTTTATATAGATGAGGAAACCCAGGGTCACAGAGGTTAAGGGTCTTGCCCTGGGCACTCAGGAAGTGAAAAATCTGGGTCTGGGAGAAGGCCCCCTCTCTGCCTCACCTGAATGCTATCCTTCTTAGGGAGAGTGAGTGGATCGATCGTGTGAATGGTTAAAACAGAGTCCACAGGGTGCTGAAAGATCACATCTCTGTCCTGTAACCTGTGTCAATTGTAATCAGTCATTCCAAAGTTTTAAAATTATAGACATGCATTCTCTTTATTTAGAGAGGGAAAAAAAAGGAGTATAGACAGGCAATTGGGAAGGGATTTCCTTCTCACACAGGCAGGTGCTCAAGAGATTTCCCTAAAGGGCAGGCAGACCATGGAACCCTCCTGCCCAGTAAATTCCAGAGGCTCCCTATGACCACTAGGAGCGAATAAAACGCCTGTTTGCCATCCAGAGCTCTTTGTTACCTGATGTCAGCTTACCTTTCCAAGTCTGAAAGGCGTGATTTCTTAACTCTCCTTGTTCTGCGGATCCAGCCAAACTGCCCTGCTGTGTCCCTCCATCTTCCATCTCTGGACTTTTCCATGGGCCCTTCTCCATCCTTCACCTCTCCGAATGCCCAGTTTCCTTCAGAGCTCAGCCTGAATGCCACCTTCAGTCTGAGGGCTTTCTTAAACCTGGCTTCTGGAAACATCTTCTTTGCTGCATCTGTGCCCACATCTGTGCACACTGTCTCTTCTGATAGAAGAGAAGCTCCTTGAGGGCAGTAGCCATTTCTTCTTGGTCTTTGTAATGCCAATTCCTAGTATAGTGTCTGGCATGATGCAGGCCCTTATTGGTTGATTGAAAAAAAATACTAGACTAAAGGCTCC